ATACTAATATTGTATTTATAGTAATACTATCGATATTAATAATATTTATAACATATAATAATGTATATTATTAATATATTATGTTATTATATTAATAATTATATTAATATATAATATAATATTATATTATATATAATATAGTAATATATATTATATATGTTATTCCCCAGAACTAGTCTGAAGATTAGAGATGCCTGCCAAGTCACTGACTCCTCCCATCAAGACATAGGGCCGTCATTGTTTCCCCTTGAGAGACTCGCAGCTACCATGCCTGACTCTCGGTCCTCGCACCTTTGGAGCTCTGAGCTGAATGGGAGGAGCCTCACTGCCCAGAGGCTGCCATGCTGAAGAGGCCACATGTGGGAGCTCTGGTCACCAGCTTCAGCTGAGCTCAGCCCTCCAGCCATCCATCCCTGCCAGGGCACAAGATATGTGCGTGAAGCTGTCTTAGATCTTCCAGTCCAGCGCATTCACCAACCGAATGCCACCCAGTGACCTCAGTCGATGATGCACAGAACAAAAGAATGACCCGAACGAACTCTGTTGGAATTCCTGACCCCCAAAACCAGAGACAATAAAATGGTGGTTGTTTAAGCCACCAAGTTTCAGGTCGTTTGTCACACAGTTGTAGACAATCAGAGCATCCACTGTGCAAATATTCGAAGGTAACTTTTCTTCCAGAATGAACCTGTCCACCCCTCTGAACTGTTGTTCACGAGATGGGGCTTTGAGTCTTAGGACCATTGGGATCAACCATCTCCTGGACATTTGAAGCCTGACATGAAGACAAACCTCAGGATGGTCTGGCCCATGGTGCCAGGTAGGACTTCATCCAGAATGATTTCACTAAAAAGGAAATGATTCACTCACAACAGCTTCAGGGATGGCTGGGTCCAGGTGCTCCAGTGAGGTCGGTCTCCATTTCCTCTGTCACGGTTTTATTTTCAGGCTCTTCTCCTAGAGACAAAAGGCTTTAGAAACTCAGCTTCACCTCCTCTCAGGTTCAAGTGTAGATGGAAAGAGTAACTTCATTTTCCCAGCATTCCCAGCAAAAGTTTCAGTGATTCTCTTTGGTTCGTGGCTGGGTGAACCCATCAGAGCCAATCCCTGTGGCCAGGGAAGCAGAATGGCCTGGGATCCCAGAGATAGGGTCTCTACCATACAAACCATATATGAACCAAGAGTAGGGAGGAGAAATTCTACAAAGGAGAACTAATGGTACTACCATAGGGGAAGGATGAATGGATGGTTGGGCATCAGAGTGAAAATTAAAAGGAGAGTGAAAATTCACCTTCTTCATTCTAGATAACATACTTCTATTAATGCAATCCAGGGCCACATCACTGCCTCACACTGATGATTCCCATCAGATTAGCAGTGTGGTATTTTTCCTCATCTAATGCTGCTTGGCTTCATGTCCCTCACCCTCTACCATGCTAGGGATGCAGACATTGGAAGGTCCTTCCTCTCCAGCTCCATCCCAAGCACAGTGAGGTTTTCAGGGGCATGTCAATGAGCAAGACTAGGGCCAGGTCCCCCTTTGATGATTGGTCATCCCTCCCCATCCCACAATGATTGAAGGCAGCAAGCAAATTTTACTGCCAACATGGATGGCCCAGACCCAAGGCTAGATTCAAGACTTTTGGGGCAAAAACAAGCCCTGTTGTCTCTTCATAGAGTTGGATTGTTTCTCGAGTGGACCAGTGACCCCCTGATTGGAAACCAGGACTTTGGCATATAATGTGTGTGTCAGTGTAAATAACAACAACAACAACAACAAAATCCGCCCGCTGCCCCAAGAGGAGACCCTGAGTGCACTAGTCCACAAGGCTGCTGGACACAGGGAGACCTCCGAGACCTTGGCTCTAAAATCAGAGAAAGTTTGCAGGTGACCCTCGAGTTCTAGTACAATTGGATCATTTGACAGGATGGGTAAACGGAGGCTCGGGGGGGGCCCTGGCATGCAACTGCACCCAGGTCACTCAGCGAGTGAATGGCAGTGACCGTTAGAATTTAGTCCTTCTGATGGCAGAACTCTCCCGCCCTGCTTGGTGTTTTTATTGGAGTGAGCACACAGGTCCCAGGGCAGTGGAAAAAAAGTTTACTTTCATTTTGTAATTGGCCCTAATGTAAGGCGGGGACTGGGGAAGGAGGGGACATTAAGGGGATAGCTCATCTGACAAATATTTATTAGTACCTACTGCAGACTTGGCCCTGTGCCCTGGGAAGAGCCACATTCTGGGGGCAATGACCATTCTTGTTTTCAGCAGCGTGCTGGAATGGGGAGGGACACAGACATCAATCCGAGAATCACACACGTTCCTACATATTACAGACATGGAAAGTGCCAGGAAGGAGAAGGACAGGATGTTTACCAGCAGGCTCCATGGACATCCTGACCGAGCACGGGGTTCAGGACGGGTTCCCGAGGAAGTGATGTTTGAGACATTGAAGACATTTCCACAGGACCTTACAATACATGCTACGAGAACAGCCTGTCCTCGCCTGCCTCCTCACTTAAGTCCCTGCTGCAGCAACTGGCATTCCCTAAAGCTTCCCAGAAACTTCCAGCAACCAAAGGTTGCTGACTCCTCTGATGACACACTCTGGGCATTCCAAGGATGATGATCTAAGATCCGTTACCCAGCGGCCAGACCCACAGGGTGAAGCAGGGTGTGCCCCCTCAGAGAGGAAATTGGATGCTACCTCCACTCTTCCCGTCCGCTACACGGGGATAGAAAGTTCTTGTGGGCTTTTCCCTTCTAAATGTTCCAGGGCAATGCCGACTTCCCAACTGCAGGCTGGAATACAACTCCTTGAATCTCACCCTCCTTACCTCACTGGCCCACCTCCGTCCAGACTGGACTGACTTTCCCCCTCTCTGCTCCCCCGTCCCCGAAGGCAACCTCCATCCTAGCCAGGACCCTGGTGTCACTTTTCCCTATGCGCCCATGGGGCTGCCCCCATGACTCTGAGTTTCCTGACACCAGGCTCTTAGTTTCTTTCTTTCTTTTTTTTTTTTTTTAAGATTTTATTTATTTGACAGAGAGAGACACAGCGAGAGAGGGAACACAAGCAGGGGGAGTGGGAGAGGAAGAAGCAGGCTTGCCGCCGAGCAGGGAGCCTGATGCGGGGCTTGATTCCAGGACCCCGGGATCATGACCTGAGCTGAAGGCAGCCGCTTAACGACTGAGCCACCCAGGAGCCCCGGCTCTTGGTTTATTGATCCTTACTCTCCCCTGTTGGTGATGTCTACCATGATGATCTATATCCTTAATATCTGCTGGATGCTTTGATTTGAATCACCAGGCTTTGCTATGCACTAGCTCTGTGACGTTGGGCAAGTTACTTAACCTCTCTGGGCTGCCATTTCTTCCTCTTTAAAATAAGACTAAGAGATAGTCCTTACCTCACAAGGTTGTGTTTAAAAACAAAATTCAGGGGCGCCTGGGTGGCTCAGTCAGTTAAGCGTCTGCCTTTGGCTCAGGTCCTGATCCCGGGGTCCTTAGCTCGAGCCCCGCATCAGGCTCCCTGCTCGGTGGGGAGCCTGCTTCTCCCTCTCCCTCTGCTGCTCCCCCTGCTTGTGCTTTCTCTCGCTCTCTCTCCTGCTCTCTGTCAAATATATAAATAAAATATTTTAATAAAATAAAAACAAAAATTAGTAAATTTGAAGATCTAATTGGCTTTATTGCATGATTCATGAATCAGGCAGCATCCCATCTGTAAGTGGAGGGGAGCTCTGAGGAGTTGTACAAAGTGGAAGGTTTTTATAGGAAAGAGAGTGGGGCAAGAAGTTAGGAGCAAGGGAAAAGGAAAGGATTGTTGTAGGCAAGGTCACCTTCCCTTAGGTGGAAGGGCAGGGGTCTTATTAGGTGGATCACTTCATCTTCCTTTGGGAAATAGGACCCTGGTGACAGATTGCCTCCTGCGTGCTGATCCGAAAATTCCTGATTGACCCCTAAGACTTACATTTCTGGGGGAGGTTGAAACTGCAGTTAGGTTAGGTATTAAGCCCACTTTGGTGACTTGGTCTAAGTGACACCATTTTGGGCCTGTGATTTTTTTTTTTTTTTTTTGGAAGATTTTATTTATTTATTTGACAGAGAGAGACATAGTGAGAGCAGGAACACAAGCAGGGGGAGTGGGAGAGGGAGAAGCAGGCTTCCTGCAGAGCAGGGAGCCCGACGTGGGGCTCGATCCCAGGACCCTGGGATCATGACCTGAGCCGAAGGCAGACGCTTAACGACTGAGCCACCCAGGCGCCCCAGGCCTGTGATTTTCTTTTTAACAGTTATTACAGGATTAAATGAGAGCCGGCAGATAACATACAATAACACACAATCACACAATAAAGCACTCCATATACCCTGGATAGGTATGTTTTCCATAACCATCCACCCCATGGGCTTGCTATGCTGTTAAAATTATTAAGCCTTGGGGCGCCTGGGTGGCTCAGTCAGTTAAGCGTCTGCCTTTGGCTCAGGTCCTGATCCCGGGGTCCTGGGATCGAGCCCCGCATCGGGCTCCCTGCTCAGCGGGGAGCCTGCCCCTCTCCCTCCTCATGCTCTCTCTCTCTCTGTATCCCTGTGTCTCAAATGAATAAATAAAAATTTAGGGAAAAAAAATTATTAAGCCTTGACAGGTACAAAGAGGTTTTTGTAATCTGTCCGCACTTCCAACCGATTTTTCTGTCCAAGACCCGTTCCCCACCCTCTCCCAGCTTATTCCCCCCCGCCCCCATCCCCGTCCCAGTCCCCGTTCCGAGACAAACGAGTTCAAGCACAGACCAGGAGGGCAGGGGCCGTGGGCACACAGCCCGGCCACCAGGCACGCGGCGTCCGCGCTCTGCACGCGGCCCTCCCTCGTGCGGGGTGGCCCGGGGCTCACGGAGGCGGCTTCTGGGAACCCGGGCTGGCGGCCGTGTGCACAGCGCCGTGCGCCGCGCGGCCGCGGGTGAGGCGGCGCGGGACGTGTGCAGGCGGCGGCCGGCGGGGCGGGCTTTTGCACTCATCCCGGCTCCTTCCCGCTATAAAGGCGGCCCGGCCCGCCGCGCTGCGCCACGCCTCCCCGAAGTGCCAGCTCGTTCTCGGACCGCTGTCGCCGGACTCCACCACCGCTTCTTCTCGCTATGGATCCCAACTGCTCCTGCACCCCCGGTAAGGAGATCCGGGCCGGGGCCGCGCGTCCGTTCAGAGCTAGAGAAGCGATCTCTGATGCCCCTTCTCTTCCTGGCCACTTAGTTTCGGGGCTGCTAACTGCTGTTTCCCAAAGCTTTTTGGTGCACCTCTCTCTAGGTTCATCGAGGCACCCACCCCAGCCCACCCCCCGCTTCTGCCGATAAGGGGTCGGACTTCATAGCTGGGCCCCGGTTCCCAGGGGTTGGTTGTGGGAACCCGCACGCATTCCCGCGTTCGGGTCCAGGGACAGTTGTCACCGCTTGCCTTGCTCCTTGCAGGTGGCTCCTGCACGTGCGCCGGCTCCTGCAAATGCAAAGAGTGCAGATGCACCTCCTGCAAGAAGAGTGAGTGAAATCTTTGCTCCTACACCCCCTACCCACCCCTACCCTCTATACCCCGAGGGGAATCCTTCAGCTGGGGGAGGGAACGTGCTGCCTCCACAGCGCTCCCTGTCCCGGACCACCCGAATCCTTAATCCTGTGTGCCCAGCGCTCATCGCTGCCCTCCCCTTCCCTGCCCCAGGCTGCTGCTCCTGCTGTCCCGCGGGCTGTGCCAAGTGCGCCCAGGGCTGCATCTGCAAAGGCGCATCGGACAAGTGCAGCTGCTGTGCCTGATGCGGGGGAGCCTGCGCCCGATGTAAATACGGCCACGTGTACACACCTGCAGTTTTGTTTTTTGTTTTTTGGTGCTTTTTGTTTTGGGTACAACTCTGACCCGTTTGCTACATTCCTTGTTTCTTTTTTGTTTTTCCTATAAAATGCGTGAATTATAATAAAAGTTGTCGACTTTTATTCTCGCTCTGTTTTTCTTTGCGTGCCTACCGGGGCTAGGGTGGGGAATTCGACGGGAATTGCAGAAACCTGTTTTCTGGACACAAATGTTAATTCTCTAGAAACTGAGTGCCTTAAGGCAAGCCGGGTGACTTCACAGAGCTTCACCTTCTGTAAAATGGAAGGGCATTATGCCAGAGGATATAAAGGCCTGGGGGCCCTCTGTTCTAGTGCCAATTTTACTTTTTAAATAATGTCTATTCCCAGTGTGGGGCCTGAACTCATGACCCAGAGGTCAAGAGTCACATGCTCTACAGACTGAGCCAGGCAGGTGCCCTGTCAATCCAGACTTTTCTTATGCTCTGTGGTTTCTCTGCCCAACCTCAGTTCCTCATGGATTCCAGGCTTGAAAATGACTACAGGAGGTAGTCACCTTCGAATCCTGCCTGGGGCTTCTAAAAAAAATACCTGTGGTAAAGGCGTGATTTTTACTTTGTATCCATCCCAAACTAAACCTTGGTAAAAAATATATATTAATTTCATGAAAATGCCATAAAAGAACAATATAAAGCCCATGTTTTTAGATTGAGCATACATAATTTCAATGAATATATGAAGAACAAGTAGAATTAGAGATTTTAATAAAGCGCTGCACATATATATGTTCACTGAAGGTGTCCACTGAGCACTAGAGAGAGAATTCACAAATGCCCCAGTGTCATGGACCACACACCTTGAGGAGCACTGTCCTGGATATCCCTCCCCACAGGGCACTTGGCCTGCTCCCTGCCATTGCGCCACTGACGGGACACTCTGTACCCCCGAGAGCTCCCTGGTGTGACTTGGCTCTGAATCTTTGGAAGTTCCTCCCTTGGTCAGGCTGGAATCTGTCCCTCCAGAATCCAGTTGTCCTTGGCAACTTGAAACCAACACAGGGACTAGGGAATTGGAGGGAAGTGTCCAGCCATATCCCAGCAAGAGGGAGGGTACCTGAGAACTGGTTTCAGATGGAATACTTCACGGCGGCCCGTGCACGGTGATGGCCGATTCTGTGCTTTGGAGGGTGTGGTGGTGTTTATTAGGCAGGAGTGAGGCCCTGAGTGACTTGTAATTAATGCCAACGGTTAGTCCCCCTGGCTATTTGTGGAGGGAAATGCTACTTGATGTTGGATCAAAGGGAAAAGGGAGTCACGTGGTCCGGAGTCAGGACCCGGCCTGCCGGCAGGTGCCTGGTGTAAAAAGGGGATTTCAGAAGGCAGTGTGTGTCCAGGGCGTGGGCTTTGGTGTCAGGCAGTCTGGGTTCACATCCAACTTTGCAACAAGTAGCTTGGACAAGCTGCTCATCCTCACTGAGCTTCCATTTCTTCCTGTGTAGAAAAGAGATTCTATCTCTATATGGGGATTAAATGACTGTCCTGGCTCCTGGCCAGGGTTTAATAAACAGTGGTCATTATGTCCGACATTGGTGGAGACAGAATACTATTGGATCCCAATAAGCTCTTGGGGATAGGGTCATTAGTTAGAAAGCATTACTCTGGGTTGGAGGTTAAGGATGGGGTTGGAAATCTGCTGACATGATGCTAGGGGGAGGGTGGGTACCTCCTGCACGATGTCTCCAGGGACAAGATGCAGCCACAGCGTTTGGACAGACACAAAAATCCTTACCATCCTTCACGTCATTTGGTCCGCAGGAATCAGTGAGAGAGTGAACATGCAGGGGCTGGAGCAATTGTGCTGTCTTCAGAGAGGTTAAGCAACCCGCCCGAGGTCACACAGCTCCTAGTCAGGGGTCTGAACCTATAAAGCTGGCCTCATGCCCTGTCCATAGCTGGCTGATGATGATGTCACTAGGTGCTAAATATTGCTTCTCACTATTCAAAGGTGGAAGAGCCTTTGGAGATGGACCAATTGTGCCCCCGCTTGAGAGATAGGAAACGGAAGCCCAGAGAGGTCACAGAGCTATGCAGAGGATCTAACTGCCAACTCAGTGCTCTTCCCACGCTGCCTCTGTGCCAGGCATTCAGTGTCCTCACCTTTCACGTGAAGTCGTGGAGCGGGATGGTGGGTGAGGCCATGATGCTGCAGTCAGCCCACGTGCGTGCAAATCCCACCCGTGTCGCTTACAGCTGTGTGACATAAGCCTCCCTGGCTTAGCTTCCTCTGCTCTAAAAAGGGTAAAAAAGGTATCTGTCTCAAAGAACTGAGTGAATTAATACGTGTGAAGAACTTAGAACAGTGTCAGACACGTGATGAGTGGTCTATTAATATTAGCTATTACTTTATTATTATTATACATAGCATAAGGCGTATTTGTTTATCTCCAGACAAATAAGCCAGGCCTGGGGTGCTAGCTATTACTTTATTATTATTATGTGTAGCATAAGGGGTATTTATTTCCCTCCAGACAAATAAGCCCAGGCTGGGGTGCCCAGTTATGTTTCCTGTGTGGTCTTTATCAACCACATAAGAACATGACCTATAGGCCAGAGAGCATCATTCAATCTCCGCCACACAATTGTGATCCCCATTACAGGTATAAAGCCACAAGGAAGATGTTCTGTGCCTTATATCAGATACCAAAAGACACCCACCAATTGTTTTACCACCTACACCATATTTTAACATTATACTTTGAAATGATTCATATTTTCTTTATATGAAAAGTAAACTTTTTATCCTTACTGAAAATGAGAATCAGTCTTATTCTAGACATAGAAAATAGCCACAAAAGCATATCCAGTGTATAAGAATTTATAAATATATATCCTGGACTTATGGATCACTTTTTTTGTTACTCATGGTTGATGTGGCCACCTACTCTTCTTGGAAAGGTTTCATGCAGTGGAGAAGTGTAGACATTCCCAGGCCAAAGTCAGGCTTATCATGGACCTTCTCTTTCCCTTAGAAAGTTGACGGGATTCATCAGAGTTTTACTTCCTAGCTGTGGGACCTTGGCCAAGTAACTTAGACTTCTGTGTTGTAGTTATCCACTAAGAAAAAGTGCTCAAAAGTAATAGTAATTCCCTTTTGGGGTCTTTGTGAGGGTACACAAATCAAAAGTGAATATAATATGGCCTGGCACATACTAAATGCTACTTAATTCTCAGCATGTTGACACGGAAATAACTACTTTTCTTTGTTATTTAGAGCCAGGTCTCCCTAGCATCTTTGAGGGGAGATACCCATCTCACCCTCTGGAAACCGCTGGGAGTGGGGTGCCCCGGCAGGCTGGGGGGAGCACTAGTTTTAATGCAAAGAAGGCCCGCACAATCGCGCGCATATAACCGTTCGGGCATGCAGAATGTTAAGACGCAGAGGTCTGTGTCCGCCACACGGTGTACATCATAAAAGGGCCTGAAAGCCCAGCCCCTATGTGGGGACCCGGAGAAGACAGGCCAAAGGAGGCAAAGGGCACATCCACCGCCCGTGCTCTGCACACTACTCTCTCAGGTCTCTCTGCACACCCACCCTCCACCCGGCCCCCCTCCCCAGGCCCAGGTCGTGAGGGAGAGGCCGAGGCTGCACACGGGCTCCAGGAAAGGGCGACCCCGGGGACACGTGCACGGGGCCCGGGGTGGGGAAGGCGGCGAGGACGCAGGCACTGGGTTCTCGGAACACCCGGGAACAGGGGCGGCTGCCGACCTCGGGGAGCCGACAGGGGCCGGGCAGGGAGGCTGGGACTCGGCGCGGTGCGCAGCGGGCGCGGTCGCCCTCGGGGACTCGTGCGCCCGGCCCGGCCAGGTGCACACAGCTCGGCCAAGGCCGCCGCGCGCCGCGCGCTCTCGGCGGGGCGGGTGCAAGGGCGGGGCGGGGCCTTTGCGCCCGGGCCGCCCGGTCCGCCTATAAAGTGAGCCCGCGGCGCTGGGGCTCCACCACGCCTCCAGCCGGCAGCCGTGTCTCTCCGTGTCGCCTGCTTTGGACCTCCGTCCTCGACTCGACTCGACTCGACTCGACTCGACTCGACTCGACTCGACTCGACTCGAAATGGACCCCAACTGCTCTTGCTCCACCGGTAAGGAACCCCCTGCTCTGAGCCTTAGGGGGGCACGCTTCCCAGGCCCGGAGCGCGTGTCCTCGGGGTTAGAGGGGCGGGGGTTTGGAGCTGGAGCTGGAGCTGGAGGAGACTCCCGGAGTCAGCACGTGCTGTGCGTTGTCCCTGGCCAAGCTCCGGAGAGCATTTCCGTGCCTCGAGTTCAGAGTTGAGGGTACTGCGGTCACGTCGAGGTCCCCTGTTGGTCGGGGACTGCTGGCCTGGGACTTGATGGCAGGTGGGGACATTGTATCCTCGGGGTTCAAGAGCTAGGGCCCTGGCCCCCAACCCGGCCTGCTTGGGCTGAGCCTGGAGCCTGGAGCCTGGGACCCTCCTTGTGCAGTCAAATCTGGAAGGGACCTACCTTTCCTAGCATCAGAAGAAAGTGGGGCTTCCCTTAATGATCTGCCCTGGGTGAGAAAAGGGCTCCCAGAGCTGGGCAGTGACAGGAGACTGGAGATTGGGGCAGCTTGTTGGCCGACTGCTGTGGCTCCCACATCACTCTCCTGCTCCTTGCTCCTCCTTCTCTCCCTTGCAGGTGGCTCCTGCACGTGCGCCGGCTCCTGCAAATGCAAGGAGTGCAAATGCACCTCCTGCAAGAAGAGTGAGTGTGGTGGGGTGTTCCGTGGGGATCTGGGGACCGGACTGGGTGGGCGGGGGGGGGGGGGGAGCCCAGAGCTCGGCAGGCGGGAGCAGGCCCGTGACCCAGCCTCTCTGCATCCCCTGCCCTGAGCCCCTGCCTCAGAATTGGAGCCGAAAGAGCATGTAGGTGATCTGAGTTCCAGCCTCATCCTAGAATAGGAAGACTGAGGCCCAGATCTAGGTCTCCTGCCTCCTGATGCAGCCTTCTGAACCCTCCAGTGTCCTGAACACCTGATGTACATGAGCTTGGTGACCGTGTGTGGTTTCTCTGACCTGCTGTAGCCCTTTCCTGTGGGGACAGCCCAGAGCTTCCGTCCCCCCCCCCCCCCGGGAGCTGCTAGGCAGGGGGCACCCCCTCTCTGATCTTGAGGACTTTCTATCAAGATGTATGGTTCTGGGGGGGGGGGGCCCTACATTGTCCCTGGACGCCCTGTCACTGTGTCGCCAGGCATTCTGCCCTGGGCTGGAATCAGATGGGGGGCAGGACAGCCTTCTCCCAGTGGGTAGGACTCAGTTGTCGAGAGACAGCCTGCCATCAAGCCAGGGTCCGCCGAGGCTGGGGGCAAGGCCTGGGCTGGCCTGCTCTTAGGAAGGGGGGTCCCTGGCCATGTCTGTTCTGACCCTGTGGCCTTCCTGCCCCAGGCTGCTGCTCCTGCTGTCCCGCGGGCTGTGCCAAGTGCGCCCAGGGCTGCATCTGCAAAGGCGCATCGGACAAGTGCAGCTGCTGTGCCTGATGCGGGGGAGCCTGCGCCCGATGTAAATACGGCCACGTGTACACACCTGCAGTTTTGTTTTTTGTTTTGGTGCTTTTTGTTTTGGGTACAACTCTGACCCGTTTGCTACATTCCTGTCTCTATGAAGTACATGAGTTATAATAAAAACTGTTGAATTTATGCTGGCTGTTTTCCTTTGCGTGCTTTAGAAATAAGGACTCCAAACCCATCGTGGCTGGGGTGGGCATTGGACCTGGTACAGAGACCTGGGTTCTGGACTCAAGGATTGGCCCCTAATAAACTGCCTTATGCAAGTCCGGTGACCTCTCCATCAGTTTTCTTGGCTGAAGATGAATGTATCAGGATGACGTAAGGGTATGGGGCCGACACAGTTGCCCTCTCTTCTCCTTGGAAGTGTTGATCTAGAACTTCTCAACTTCTATTTTACTCTCAGGATTCCCTGCCAAACTTAGGTCCTCAGCAATGTTAGGCTTCAGAAATACTCAAGACGAGAGGCACCTGGCCGGCTCAGTCGGAGTGTGCAACTCTTGATCTCCAGGTTCTAAGTTCAAGTCCCACGCTGGGTGTAGAGATTACTTAAAATCTTAAAAAGTACTTGGGATGAAATCCAATTCCACACTTTTAAGACTTCTATACAGGGCTTGCTTCTAAAACACTTGAGGGACCAATTTTTATTCTCTAACACAGATTTAAACTTTAGCGAAATAAATTGCTAAGAAAAAATTTAACAGGCATAATATGCAAAACCCAGTTTTTTTTGAGAGGGAACACAAGCAGGGGGAGTGGGAGAGGGAGAAGCAAGCTTCCCGCCAAGCAGGGAGCCTGATGCGGGGCTCGATCCCAGGACCCCGGGATCATGATCCGAGCCGAAGGCAGACACCCAATGACTGAGCCACCCAGGTGCCCCAAACCCCAGGTTTGATTCAACAAATTTCAATAAGTATATGAGGAACAAAATTTAAAAATTGCAAAGTACGCATTTATTCATTGAGGGTGTGCATTGAGCACTAGAAACAATTCACAAGCTGTGTGGACCACCTTGAGTAGCACTGTCCTCAACATCCCCATAGGGGATCCATCGGGTTTGGCTGGTGCTCAGCCATTTCCCAGCAAGAAGGAGGGTACCTGAGAACTGGTTCCAGCTGAAATACTTCACGGCTGCCTGTGCACGGTGATGGCCGATTCTGCGCCTTGGAGGGCGTGGTGGTGTTTATTAGGCAGGAGTGAGGCCCTGAGTGACTTGTAATTAATGCCAACGGTTAGTCCCCCTGGCTATTTGTGGAGGGAAATGCTACTTGATGTCGGATCAAAGGGAAAAGGGAGTCATGTGGTCCGGAGTCAGGACCTGGCTTGCCGGCAGGTGCCTGGTGTAAAAAGGGGATTTCAGAAGGCAGTGTGTGTCCAGGGCGTGGGCTTTGGTGTGTTCACAGCCGACTTTTCCACTTCCTGGCCATCTGACCTAGGCAAGTTGTTGGTACTTGCCGAGCCTCCATTTCTTCATGTGTAAAAAGGAGATTACTTTGCAATGTGGGAAATTAAATGAAATAGTGGCCTGGCTTCTAACTAGGGCTTAATAAACAGTGGCCATTATGGTAACTATTCTATTCACACTGAGATTTGAGGAGAGAGACTACTAGTTCCCAGCAAGCTCCAGGGAAAGGCCCGGAAGCATTACTCTGGGTTGGAGGCGAGAGATGGGATTGGAAGTTTGCTGACCCGGGACAGGGGGGAGTGTGGATGACCAGCAATAAGCCCCTCAGGACAGGAGGCTGCCACAGCATTTGGATAGACACAAGAGTCTTTCCCATCCTTTAAGTCATTTGATCTGTACAGGAACCATGAGAGAGTGAACATGCAGGGGCTGAAGTGATTGTGCCAATTTCCAGAGAGGTTAAGCAAAGTCAAATAGCTCCTTGCACTGTGTGTACTTTGGGAAACTGGCTCATAACTAATGTACCCCCTTTAGGATTGCTGTTGGGGTTCAAAGAACCGAGTGATAAGCGACACTCAGAACAGACTACATGCTATGTAGTTCTCAGGAATACTGAAAGGGACAGAACCACTTATCTTGCTTTGTTATTTGATGCCAGGTTGGCCTATCATCTAAAAAGATCCCTTGGCGGGGAGGGGGGTGGGTAGCATCCATGCCTTGGGAACCTCCACCCTGAGTGGGGTGAATGGGCAGGGCTGAGGAGAGTCCCTAGAAAGTTTAGGCAAAGGAGCACCAGGACAAACGTGCCCACACATCCCTTCTGCCTTGGTGGGGAGAAGGAAAGGAAGGGAACCCCAAGCCTGAGCTCACCGCGTTGTTGTCTGAGCTGCAGCGGAGGGCCCAAAATAGGGACCTAGACAGGCAATGCCTGGCGGGGAGCGGAGGAGGACGAAGAGGAGGTCACTAAATGCTATGTAATTCTTGGAATATTGAAAGGGAAATAACCACTTTCTTATTTTGTTATTTAAAGCCAGGTCTCCCTGTCCCCTAAAAGGGTTCCTCCTTTCTGGGTATCTTACCCTTTGGGAACCTCCTGGAGTGGGGAGCACTAGTTTTAATGCAAAGAAGGCCCGCACAATCGCGCGCATATAACCGTTCGGGCATGCAGAATGTTAAGACGCAGAGGTCTGTGTCCGCCACACGGTGTACATCATAAAAGGGCCTGAAAGCCCAGCCCCTATGTGGGGACCCGGAGAAGACAGGCCAAAGGAGGCAAAGGGCACATCCACCGCCCGTGCTCTGCACACTACTCTCTCAGGTCTCTCTGCACACCCACCCTCCACCCGGCCCCCCTCCCCAGGCCCAGGTCGTGAGGGAAAGGCCGGGGCTGCACACGGGCTCCAGGAAAGGGCGACCCCGGGGACACGTGCACGGGGCCCGGGGTGGTGAAGGCGGCGAGGACGCAGGCACTGGGTTCTCGGAACACCCGGGAACAGGGGCGGCTGCCGACCTCGGGGAGCCGACAGGGGCCGGGCAGGGAGGCTGGGACTCGGCGCGGTGCGCAGCGGGCGCAGTTGCCCTCGGGGACTCGTGCGCCCGGCCCGGCCGGGTGCACACAGCTCGGCCAAGGCCGCCGCGCGCCGCGCGCTCTCGGCGGGGCGGGTGCAAGGGCGGGGGCGGGGCCTTTGCGCCCGGGTCGCCCGCTCCGCCTATAAAGTGAGCCCGCGGCGCTGGGGCTCCACCACGCCTCCAGCCGGCAGCCGTGTCTCTCCGTGCCGCCTGCTTTGGACCTCCGTCCTCGACTCGACTCGAAATGGACCCCAACTGCTCTTGCTCCACCGGTAAGGAACCCCCTGCTCTGAGCCTTAGGGGGGCACGCTTCCCAGGCCCGGAGCGCGTGTCCTCGGGGTTAGAGGGACGGGGGTTTGGAGCTGGAGCTGGAGGAGACTCCCGGAGTCAGCACGTGCTGTGCGTTGTCCCTGGCCAAGCTCCGGAGAGCATTTCCGTGCCTCGAGTTCAGAGTTGAGGGTACGGCGGTCACGTCGAGGTCCCCTGTTGGTCGGGGGCTGCTGGCCTGGGACTTGATGGCAGGTGGGGACATTGTATCCTCGGGGTTCAAGAGCTAGGGCCCTGGCCCCCAACCCGGCCTGCTTGGGCTGAGCCTGGAGCCTGGGACCCTCCTTGTGCAGTCAAATCTGGAAGGGACCTACCTTTCCTAGCATCAGAAGAAAGTGGGGCTTCCCTTAATGACCTGCCCTGGGTGAGAAAAGGGCTCCCAGGGCTGGGCAGTGACAGGAGGCTGGAGATTGGGGCAGCTTGTTGGCCCACTGCTGTGGCTCCCACATCACTCTCCTGCTCCCTGCTCCTCCTTCTCTCCCTTGCAGGTGGCTCCTGCACGTGCGCCGGTTCCTGCAAATGCAAAGAGTGCAAATGCACCTCCTGCAAGAAGAGTGAGTGTGGTGGGGTGTTCCGTGGGGATCTGGGGACCGGACTGGGTGGGCGTGGGGGGGGAGCCCAGAGCTCGGCAGGCGGGAGCAGGCCCGTGACCCAGCCTCTCTGCATCCCCTGCCCTGAGCCCCTGCCTCAGAATTGGAGCCGAAAGAGCATGTAGGTGATCTGAGTTCCAGCCTCATCCTAGAATAGGAAGACTGAGGCCCAGATCTAGGTTTCCTGCCTCCTGATGCAGCCTTCTGAACCCTCCAGTGTCCTGAACACCTGATGTACATGAGCTTGGTGACCGTGTGTGTTTTCTCTGACCTGCTGTAGCCCTTTCCTGTGGGGACAGCCCAGAGCTTCCGTCCCCCCCCCCCCCGGGAGCTGCTAGGCAGGGGGCACCCCCTCTCTGATCTTGAGGACTTTCTATCAAGATGTATGGTTCTGGGGGGGGGGGGCCTACATTGTCCCTGGACGCCCTGTCACTGTGTCGCCAGGCATTCTGCCCTGGGCTGGAATCCGATGGGGGCAGGGCAGCCTTCTCCCAGTGGGTAGGACTCAGTTGTCGAGAGACAGCCTGCCATCAAGCCAGGGTCCGCCGAGGCTGGGGGCAAGGCCTGGGCTGGCCTGCTCTTAGGAAGGGGGGTCCCTGGCCATGTCTGCTCTGACCCTGTGGCCTTCCTGCCCCAGGCTGCTGCTCCTGCTGTCCCGCGGGCTGTGCCAAGTGCGCCCAGGGCTGCATCTGCAAAGGCGCATCGGACAAGTGCAGCTGCTGTGCCTGATGCGGGGGAGCCTGCGCCCGATGTAAATACGGCCACGTGTACACAACCTGCAGTTTTTTACTTGTCACGCTCCCCGGACCCAGTTGCTACATTCCCGTTTCTATGAAATCTTTGAATGACAATAAATTTATCTAGACACTTCTGGCTCCAAGTGTCAGGTGGTGTGTTTGGAGGATGGGACTTGGTTCTAATTGGGCTGCAGGGGAAAGTGGTTTGGCGGAGGTTAGGGGTGGGGTGGCCATGGGAAGTGGGGGCAGGGCAAGGTTCCTGGGGTCTGGCCTGGTCCACCTCCTTGAGCTCTTGGTTTTTGACTCTTCTTGGCTTAGCTGTGACAGGGTTTCCTCCGCCACCTAGAGAGTCCCCGCCCTTCGTGTGTATGTGTCCACTGCCTGTATTCACTCAATAGCCACCTACAGAGTGAATGCCTATGTAGGCACTGGGTTCTCGGTGTTGGGGTAACATGGCGCCTCCAGACTGCTAAGGAGAGCTCATTACTGAATGGAAAAATCACAGTGGCTCCGACAGAATGCTGTTGGGTGAGCCCAAGTGAGGAGACCTCGCACGGAGAGCTGCATCCCTGTCAGAGGGGACAACTGGAACAATGACCCTGATGGGGGTCAAGGGTGGGCCAGTGTGTAAGGGGATGTTCTAAGGTCACTTTGGAGAGAAGAGAACAGAGACTGTGTGTCTCATTCATCTGCCTGACTTGCAACCTGGTTGCTCTCTAAATCACTTGGAGAGGTCGAGAGTGCCACATCACGGTCCCATTTCCCCCTTCCTAGCCCCCATTCCGATTTCTTAGGTGTAAGATGGGCCAGGGAGCCTGGGTTTTAATAAGTACCTAAGGTTGCCACCCACTGAGGCGGTCACATGGAGCATTTAGTGCAATGAAATGAGCCTCTGCCGGGATTCCCATCCCGGTTGGAATTTGAAGCCAATCCCCCCAACATATGACCTGCCTGAACTGGGGGCCTAGGGAGCCTGGAGGTACCTGGTTCCTTTCAGATGACGGGGGCCGGGGGGGAGAGGGGGGGCAGGCCTCGCCCTGCAGGATGTGGGAAGTGTCTTTGTAGAGACCAAATCGGACTGAAAGGGTGGCCAGCCCCCTGGGGGCTCCTACTATGCAAACCTCACCCCAGTGTGACTGGGCCGGTGTCCCCGCCACTGTTTCCCAGGGAGGGCCTGGCCCAGACCTTGTGGCTCTTGGGCAGGAGTGCGGTATGCTGTCACTCTGGTGCCACGTCACAAATGTGCCCAGAGATTGCACAACCCTGCTTTCGGGCCTCACAGCTGCCAGTCCTCTCCGTGGAAGGGTACAGCATGTTTTCATTTGGCCTGACAAACACCGTGATCGAGCTTACAGCTTTTTATTTTTATTTTTATTTTTTTAAAGGTTTTATTTATTTATTTTGACAGAGAGAGAGACAGCGAGAGAGGGAACACAAGCAGGGGGAGTGTGAGAGGGAGAAGCAGGCTTCCCGCCGAGCAGGGAGCCTGATGTGGGACTCCATCCCAGGACCCTGGGATCATGACCTGAGCCAAAGGCAGACGCTCAACGACTGAGCCACCCAGGCGCCCCACAGCTTTTTATTTTCCAAGTCATGTGTGAATTGGCATCCTCCCTTCACCCCGAGCCCCATCTCCCCAACGGGTGGGTGGGGTGTGACCATATGGCATCAGTTGGAGAGATTAATTTACAATAGGTTTTTTAAAAAATCGATATGGCTGCATGAGAATGCCTCTTTTAATTCCAGAAGTTATTATCTTGATGAGCTGGTAAAGCAGTTAAGCATTGCTGCTCTGGGGCTGGACTGCCTGGCTAGAACCATAGCTCTACTACTTAGACAAGTTATGTGGCCTGTTGGTGCCTCATATTTCTCATCTGTAGAATGGGGGTAGTCATAGTGCCTACCCAGAGGGTTGTGAGGTTAAATGCGGCTAGCACAGTCCCTGCTTAAAATAAGTGCTCCAGGGTGCCTGGGTGGCTCAGATGGTTAAGCGTCTGCCTTCGGCTCAGGTCATGATCTCAGGGTCCTGGGATCGAGTCCCGCATCGGGCTCCCTGCTCCTTGGGAGCCTGCTTCTCCCTCTGCCTCTCTCTCTCTCATGAATAAATAAATAAAGTCTTTAAAAAAAAAAAAAAAAGTGCTCCGAAAGTGCTACTTCCCTCTGGGCCAGGCATGGTATCCGACATTCACTACGTGATCCATAAATGCTCTCTACTGGATTCAAAGAGCATTTACTGGACCCCTACTGTAGGTAAACCATTATGCTGGGCACCGAGGAAGATAGTATATAAATAAGACCCAATCCCTTTGCTGAAGCAAAGCTTATTCAAGTCCCTGTTGAATTCAGAGAGCATTTATTTATTATTTCAAGATGCAGCTGCTGAGCTGGTGAGGGTGTGATTCAGTCTGATCAGGAGGACGAGAGAATACCCTATTCACTCATTCATTCATTCATTCATTCATTCACATGGGCACTTTTTGGCCAGATCTAACTGGAGAATTGGCGGGTAGGCTAGACAAGTAGGGCGTTAACTCTTCCAGGGGAAAGGGAAGAGGCTTGCATGACACCCCTGATCAATGCAGATGCTTAGTATTCGATTAGCCAATCAGATCCTCTCCCCTGAGAAGCAGAAATTCAAGGTGCAGGTGGCAGGAACAAAAGGTAACTGGAGCTCTTATGTCATGGGAACAATAAAGAATCCACCCAGGGCGCCTGGGTGGCTCCGTCGTTAAGCGTCTGCCTTCGGCTCAGGTCATGATCCCAGGGTCCTGGGATCGAGCCCCACGTCGGGCTCCCTGCCCAGCGTGAAGCCTGCTTCTCCCTCCCACTCTCCGTGCTTGTGTTCCCTCTCTCGCTGTGTCTCTCTCTGTCAAATAAATAAATAAAATCTTTTTTTTTTAAGATTTTATTTATTTATTTGAGACAGAGAGAATGAGAGACAGAGAGCATGAGAGGGAGGAGGGTCAGAGGGAGAAGCAGACTCCCCGCCGAGCAGGGAGCCCGATGTGGGACTCGATCCCTACAGATTTGTTTTCTATGAGAACTGCTGTTCATCTCAGTCTTCTAGGGACCGGAGAGCTGAACACCTGCTGGGAAGAGTCCCAGGGACACCTCACTTCCCTTTGAATTCTGAAAGCGAACCCTTCAATGACAGCAACAGAAATGGACTCTAGCCAAAATTAGGTACAAAAGAGATGCATTGACAGGATAAAGAGGACTATGGAGCTGATCAGAAGGATGGAGAACTAGGTCCAGAAAACGGGCAGGAGCCAGGGTGCTGGGGGGAGGCAAGCAGCAGAGCGGGTCCCAGGAGTGGCCTGGTGGGGCTGTTACAGTTGGCAAACTGTCTTCACTGTGTCTGCTGCCCTTGGACACCCCCATCGCTGCCACTGGCCACCGCTCTTGCAAATGAGTTCTCGACCCCTCCACTAAGCTCTTCGCCTCTTGCCCCAGACCCGGAAACCCCAGCTGGCTGGGGGGTGGGGAGGAGGTGTATCTGGCCCCCTTTGGATTCCCCAGTGGGAGGCGGGATCCTGCAGACACCCAGACTGACTGGGGGTAAGATGCTAGTAAGTTCCAGGCAGGAAACCAGTGAGTCATTCGGGAGAGTTTAATAAAGGGATTTTTTTTGGAAGCCAGGAATCGGAAGAATTCAGAGAACTGAACAAGAGATGTGAAGCAGAGGAGGAGGCATCAGCAGGCCTACGCCTGAAGAGCCAGAGGCAGGGGCTGTCCCTGGACGGAGAGCAGCTGTAACTGGAGAAGAGGATGCCCCAGCAAGAGCTGTGAGCTTCAGGTAGCATCCAACCTTGCCGGGGAGCCTGGGGAACACATTCGGTGACCTCCTGCCCTCCCCGACCAGATGCTGTTGGGGCCCCACCCTTGGCCTGGCTCACGGAGGGGACGGTGGACAGTGGATTGGGGAAATACTCAGCACCCCCTGCAAATAGGGTGTGCCACCATCAACAAAAGCCATGTCTCTTCCTCGTACCCTGGGAGAATCTCACTAATCTGAGGATGAATTCAGCTCACGGGGCTGGAGGGAAGGAGGGAGGGGGTCAAGGGTGATGGTAGAAGCCCCGTTGTGGGGAGGAGGCATGGTGGGGCATTGGAGGTCCCTCAGAATGCCCGTCTGCAGGTGCAGCCAAGCAAGTCTGCTCAGAGCCCCATGGGGAGGAGGGTAGAGGAGAAAATTGAATCCACTGGGACTCTCACCTGGCCCCACCTATGGCATCACAATACCCACTGAACCACCCCTCCAGAGTGATCCCTGAGGCCACTCCTGGCGGGCTAAAGGCCCACACCACCTCCCACCCTGGAGGCAAAACCTTGAAGTTGACTGAGGTTGCCCTCACCTTCCGCTTACATCCGTCCACCACACCCAGATCCTTCCTGGCCCCATCCTCCCTCCATGCTGGCCTTTCTCTCTCCCTCTGCAGACTCTTCTATCTATCAGGGACGGGGAGGTTGGGGTATGTTGTAAAAGTTGGCTGTTTTTTGCCTCGCAGCCGGCAGTGGGGACTTCTCGGGCATCAGAGATCCTTCCTGGCCTCTGCCTCTGCCCGCACAGGCTCAGTGATTCTAAGCCATCAAGGGAGGAGGCTGAGGTGTGGCTGGAGAGTGGGTGTTGTCACTAAGGTTTGGGGGATGGGAAAGACTCCGTGGACTAGCCCTCAGGGGATTCCAGAGGTTGCCTAACGAACTGGGGAATGGGATCTGGGGCCCCATCACCAGCCATTCTGGCCTACCTGACACATCATTGCCATTGCTGAGGGTGGGGGTCTTGCCATGTGCAAACCACTGGAGTCTGCTCTCTCTCTAAGACACTTCCCATGTCCTACACCACCCCCCCAAGCAAAGCCAAGCTATACCCTCCAACGGGAAGGCATTTAGTGATCCAGGGTCACCCAAGCAGGGAGGCTTCGACAGATTCACGTTGTTCTTCAGGGCAAGAAGGCCATGCTTCACCCAGAAAAGTGATGCCCTGGGGGTGCATTCATGTTTGTAATGGGCACTGGCCAAGTTTGGCTGTCCAGTATGCATTCTCTGACTTTCTTCTGGTGAACCTCCTCTGCCCAGCCCTGGAAATTGGGGGAGATTCTGGAGTCTAGTTAAAAAAGCTAGAAGTTCAGACCC